GGCGCGCGTGTGCGTGTGCGTGGGCGTGGGCGTGTGTGGGTGGGTGGGTGGGTGTGCTCGGCACAGGCGAGGAGGGGAGGGGAGATGCCGCAGCCTCAGGGCACAGGGCCGCCGAGGCTCCCAGGGGGCCGGGTTATCAAGCTTTCCCAGGGGCGGGCCTAGGGCCAACGGTCCGGCGGTCGCGCCAGTCTCGGTCGATGGCGGGAATTTAAAAATAACGCCCCCGTGATCCGGCGCGAGTCACATGCGCGCCTCCGAATGGGGAAGTTGCCTCTTTCCGAGGCCCGCCGGGGCGGTCTCTGTCGGCCGCGGGCGGGCGCGCGGGCGGGCGGGCGGGCGGAGGGAATGTCCGCCACGCTGGGACCTGGAGAATGCCAAGGGGGCCTTCTCTCGGCCCGCTGCTGGCAGGCGCCGGCGCCCGCCAGGCCGAGGCTGGGCTCGTGCGCCCCTGCCGCCCCCCCCCCCCCCCTCGCCGTCTCGGGGGAGGTGACCATCTTCCAGCCGGGCGGCGGTTTCCCGGGGGGCGGGGGTCGCCCCGATGGCAGGTGGGTGTAGATTTCCCCTCACCCACATCGGTCCCCCGCCCCCCCACGCCGGCGGGTGATCGGGTCGGGCAGCCTCCCTCAAGAAGGCGACCGGCGGGCCGGCGGGCGTATCTCTCCCTCTTTCCCCTCCCCCTCCTTGCGTCCACAGAGGCACACGCTCCCCTCCCCATCGCCCCTCGCCTGCCCTTGCGCCACCCCCCGCCGCGACAATGTCCTCCGACCCCCCGCCGCCGTCCTACAGCGAGATCTACCCGGCGCCGGCGGTGCTGACTGGCGTGCCGGCGCCGGCGCCGGCGCCGGCGAGGCCGCTGTATCCCACCGTCGGGCCCCCCTCCGCCGGGGGGAGCCACTACACGGCCGACAGCTCGGAGTGGTTTCTCACCCCGGCGGCCCGGGCGCCAGGCGGTTCTGGCACTTCGCCGGTCCCCGGGGCATCGGCCCCCGGCGGGCCTCCCTCCCCCGGCGGGACACGGCCCTTCACGCACGAGGCGGCCACTGCCCTGTGGACCCTGCTGGTGCAGGGCCGCGCGTTCGGGGACAAGGTGGACCCCGGCTGGCTGGCCTCGGTCAACCAGCTCATCGCGCCGTATGCCATCCCCTGGGAGTTCCTGCTGCAGGTGTTCGTCAAGGGCGTGTGCACCTCGGACTCGATGCGGTGCGTTGCGCCGCGCACATGCGCCCAATTGCGTCCCCCCCCACCCCCCCCCCCCCCCGCCCCCTCGCCGCCATGTGCTCTAACGCCGCTGTCCCCGGGGCCGGTCGTCCGGTGGGCCGGGCCAATGCGCCGTCGGTCCAGCTTCGCCGTCATCAATGCCTTTGCCCCGCGCCTGGCCACGAAGTTCACCTCGCTCAATGACATCCAGGCTGTCCTGAAAACGGTGTCGGTCAACTCCAACCGGGCCCAGGCCCTGTGTGCCATGCTGCCGGCCATCGACCCGGTTCCCCTGGGCCTGGAGCCCTGCCTGGAGCTGGCCCTTTGGATCAGCCCCTGCTCCGAGCAGATGGTCCTGGTGCTGCGGTCGCTGCTGCAGCGCCTGGTCCTGCCCGGGCCCGGGGCCGCTGCCACCGCCGCCCGGCAGACCTACTTCCCCCGGATCCCGTATGCCTACATGCACCGGCTGGTGGCCGGGCTCTGTGCATCCGGGCACTCGGCCGTCTTCCTGGCGGCCTTCCTCACGGAGTTTGCCTTCCTCCTCCCCGGGGGGGCGTGCCTGTCGCGCTTTGCGCTCGGGTCGGTCGGCCAGACGTGCATCATTGTGGCCAACCAGACGGTCTTCGCCGGGGCCCTGGCGCACCACCATGTTCCAGATCCGCTCGCACATCAGGAAGCCACCCGGCTGGTGGAGCTGGTTCTGCAGCATTGCCACACGGTGCGTGTGGTTGCTTGGGTGTCTGCTTGGGTGTCTGCTTGGGTGTCTGCTTGGCTGCTTGGCTGCTTGGCTGCTTGGCTGCTTGGCTGCTTGGCTGCTTGGCTGCTTGGCTGCTTGGCTGTCCGCTTGCTTGCTCGCCCGCTTGGCTGCTTGCTCGCCCGCCTGCTTGCCTGCTCGCCCGCCTGCTTGCCTGCTCGCCCGCCTGCTTGCTTGCTTGCTCGCCCGCTTGCTTGATTCCCCGCTTGCTTGATTCCCCGCTTGCTTGTTTGCCTGCTTGGCTGCCTACATGTTACTTTTCCTTCTTCCTTTCTCCACCACTTACTCTGCTTCCGGCCGCTTCCCCCCCCCCCCTCCCCCCGACGTCCAGGTTGATGACCATCTGCTTGTTGCTCTCGACATGATCTTGCGGACGCTGTCCCCCGCACCGGCCGGGCTGCTGGGCGGCAAGATTGCAGCTCACCCGCCTGATCTTTTCGTCCCGCCGGTGGCCTCCCTCCGCCAGTGGTACCACTTCCTGGGCCTTCGAAAGTCCCCGCCCCAGTTGCAGGCGGTGCGTCTGCCGGCCATCGTGCTGCCCTCCGCCCCCCCCCCCCCCCCCCTCCCTCTCTCCCTCTCTCCCCCTCCCTCGCGCATCCCATGTCCTCGCACACGCAAGCGCCTGCCGGTGTACTTGTCGAATGCTGACCCCCCCCCCTCCCCCCCGCAGATCTTGGTGGCCCTCCACAAGTGCTCGAGCGCCTTCCTGGAGGACATCCTGGCACGGTCCGACAGCGTGCCCGAGGGCTACCTCCTCACGGATGTGCTCCAGCTGTTTCCCATCTCCCAGCGGCTGGACGTCTTCCAGCTACTCATCCGCATGGTGGATGGCCCGTGCGTGACGCTGGCATTTCCCACCCCCACACCATATGGCACCGCCTCGCATGATGCCCCCTGCTTCGGCCACTGACTTGCTTTGCCGGCCGGCAGCCTCTCCCCGGCGTTGGCCATTGCCATCCTCGGGGTGCTCTCCTCGCAGGCGGCCAAGGCCGCCGAGGTTGTCACCCGCCTGATCCCCTTGTACGCGCGCATGCCCACATGCATGGCTCCCTCCTGTAGCTCCTGCTCCATGATGGGCCCCTTCCATGGCTTCTAACCCGTGTCGATTGCCCCTCCCCGCTCCTCGGCGGCACCTATGACCTCGGTAGCCTGCACTCCCTCAGTGCGATGGACTGCTCGGAACTCCTGGCCTTCTGCCCGCTCAACACCCGGTCATACCTGCTGCACATGGTGTGCCCGCTGCCGGCTGCCTCGCCACCGGCGTCGCCTCAGCTGCCGGTTGCCGTGCCGCCGCCCACCCACGGCAAGCCTCCGGCCGGCCCGACCAAGGACGAGCTGGACAAGGTGGCGCAGCGTCTGGCCCGGCTGACCTCCGGAGATGGAGGGTCGCCGCCGGCCCTGCTGCTTTCCACTCCGGCAGCGGTGTCCCCGTGGCGCCGGCGCCGGCGCCGGCGCCGCCGCAGCCGGCCAACTGCTCGCTCCTGGATCGGACCATCATCAATGATGGCAACGACGCGCGCATCCTGCTGCTGGCCTTCCCGACGGCCGAGCGCGAGGCGCTGATCAGTGCCCTGGCCCCGCGGTGCGTCCTCGCCCTCCCTCCCCCCCCCCCCCGCGGGCACACCCCGCGCTCCCCCCCCCCCCCCCCCCCCTGTCCGACATGCTCGCCCCGCTTTCGTCCCTGCGTCGGGCGCTAACCCCGTGCTCGGCCGCCGCCCCGCTTGCCGGCAGTGTGCCCTCTCTCTTGTGTGTGGAGCTCATGCACCTGATGCTCCTGTTCTCCCAAAGCCCCCGGCGGCTCTTCCTCTTCGAGCACCTGCATCACAAGGTGTCGGACCCGGAGAACCTGTCCCGGTTGTTGACCCCGCCCAATGTGGCCCCAGCCGCCTCCCTGTCCCCGACATTGAAGATCAACACGGCCGACCTCGGGGGCGTCAGCCTGCTGGCGGAGGATGCCAAGCGCGCGCAGCAGCTCCTCCACTTGCACCTGTCGTCGCTGGGCCTGCTGAAGTGATGGGGCCCCCGCCCGCCCGTGTGTGTGTGTGTACGCGCACGCGCGCACGTCGGCCTGCTGGCTGGTGTGTCCCTCCCCCCCTCCCCCTGGCGCGAGCCCCCCCTCCAAATACACTCCCCATCTCAAGAACACCCACACTGCCCCGAGCGTGGGGACAGCCCGCATATGTGCAAGGTCTAAGAGTGCATTTCATGGCCGAGGGCGCGCCGGGGCACACGCACACGCCCCCACTAGGACAGGAGCGCCGCGCAGATGGCATCCGCGCTGCATTTGCGCAGATCCACATAGTGCTGGCCCACGCCGACGAAGAGGATGGGCTGACCGCTGGTCCAGGTGAGGGCCAGCGCCGCGCCCACCTGGTCCTCGACCGTGTCGAACTTGGAGAGGATGATGCCGTCGATACCGCGCGCATTGGCCGAGCCGCCGCCGCCGGCGGTCTGCTGGCGCAGGATCCGGGAAAACTCCCGGAGCTGGTCCACGCCGTCATGCCCGACCAGGGCCTCGCCAACGAAGAGCACCCGGTCCGGCTGGTTGATCTGCACCAGCCGGGCCAGCCCCTGCATGAGGCTGCGATTGTGCTGCATCCGGCCGGCCGTGTCCACCAGCACCACGTCAAAGGCGTGGGCCCGGGCGTGGCGGATGGCATGGCGCGCCACCTCCGCCGGGTCCGAGCTGTACCCCTGGGCGAAGAGCTCGATGAGGCTGGCCTGGGCATCGAGCCCGGCGTCGGCCGACAACTGCGACAGGTTGTCCACATGCCGGCGGAGCTGCTCCACGGCCCCGGACCGGAAGGTGTCGCACGCGGCCACCAGCACCCGGAGGCCATTCTGCAGCAGCAGGAAGGCCACCTTGGACAGGCTGGTGGACTTGCCCACGCCGTTGACCCCGCAGAAGGTGATGACGAAGGGGCGCCGCTCGCGCTCGCGCACCAGCAGGATGTCGCGCAGGAGGTTGGTCGACGCCCCGGGGGTGAGGATCCGCTGGAGGCTCGGCACCAGGGCATCGCGGATGACCTGCTGCACGCTTTGGAAGGGCCCGACCTGGGTGCCGAGCAGGCGCCCCCGGGCCCCGGCCACCAGCTCCTCGGCCAGGTCGGCTGGGACATTCTTGGCCACCAGATGCCGGCGGATTTCCTCCAGCGCCGGGTCCAGCCGGGCCTCGGTCAGGTCCCCGCGCAGGGCCGCCGAGAAGGACCCGAACAGGCCATTCAGCAGGGAGGCCGGCTTGCTGGCGGGGGGGGCGGCCCCGGCGGGCCCGGTGCCGAGGTCCTGGGCGTCGAGGACGTCGCCAGGGCGCCCGGCACGGCGCTGCCGGGCCGCCGCCAGCAGGGCCTCCTGCGCCGGGCCGATCAGATCCACGGCCGGGGGCCCGGGGGTTTGCGGCGAGCCGGGCGCGCTGCCGTCCTCCGCCAGGGAGCCTGTGTGGTCGGAGAAGTCCAGCGCGGCGGCCGACGCGGAGTTGGGCCGCTTGGACGGGGCCATGCGCTTCTTCTTGGAGGGGGTGTCCGCCACGCTGGTGGGGGGGGGGGGGCGGGGAGGCGCGGGAGGGAAGCCCCTCTGGTTAGTGGCGACCAGGGGCCATGACCGCCGGAAGGCGAGGGGGGCAGGAGGGGAGTCACGCACCCGGTCGGGCCGCCGGGTGTCCGGGCGGGGGAAGCCACCGGGCCGGGGGCGCCGCGGCGGCCACGGCGCCCGGGCCCCGGGCTGAATGGCGCGTCCGGGCCATCGCCGGCCGCCTGCGGGCCGAGGTCCTCGAAGTCATACACCAGCCGGGTGAAGGTCCCGGTGAAGGCCTCGAAGCTGGGCAGACCATCGGCCGAGGGGGTGTCGGCGCCGCTGGCCCGATCAGCCTCGTACACCTGGGCAAACTCCGCCTGGCACCGGAGGAGGAGCTGGTGCGCATAGATCACCGGGTTCACCTGGTCCACGACGGCCTGAATCGG